GCATCAAAGTCTTTACAATATATAATTATTAGATCTTATTCGTTTAAACTTTGAAATTCTATCATTTGTGTTTTATTTTTTAAGAATAGTTGTAAATAATTTACATAACTTGACGCCAATTATTGATATCTAATCTTTTATACAAATAGTACACATGTATTATTTAAATAATATATCACTTAGGTTGGATACATATTATTTAAATTGAGTCAGGTAATGCAATTTCATATCATCATTTTCTATAAAGAATTAGAGCTACTGTCATTTCAGTTTTAAAATAAGAAGGCTTTAATAGGAATATAAAGATATGTATCATATGGATTTTATTCTTTAAAAGCAGTTGTATATTGAACTTTTGAAATAATGTAATTGTAACTTGGCGCCACTTTTTTGATATCAAATCATTATATGAATGATATATATTATTAAAGTAGAGTATTATTATATATTGAATTTTCGAGATACTGTAACCTTAATTTGGCAGCACTTTCTTGATATAAAATCTTTTATACAAATGTTGCATATTATTAATGTTACATCCAGTGAACTCCACGATTCTTTTCTTTCCAAAAAGACGAATAATATAATTTTCTTCATAAGAATATTGATTTCTTCTTCCATCGATAAGATACTAAATTATATTGAATTTCGAGAAACAAGAGAAAGATTTGCAATTGCCCTGCCTATTATAATGATATGCTTAATTTTAAAAAAAATTTAAAAGAATTTTAAAAAGAAATTATTATTATTCAGTTCAAAGTTAGAGCCGAGTCCGAATACTCATCTTGGCACGTGCCAAGCAGAAGCGAAGGAAATATCTAATGTAAACATCCAACCCTCACGCACGCACGCACGCACGCATGCACTCTGAAGAAAAATTAAGACTTGTTCTTTTGAAATAACCGCCCCAGCTAATCAACAGTGAGTTTATTTATTAATTACCAGTCAATTATGAATTTCAAATTTTTATTCTTTTCCTCTCCTCCATGACATTCTAATCTACCTTTTCTTTTTTTTTGTCTCTCATTAAACTGGTCTGAACTATGCCCGGTTGCATTTCCTTTTCCTCTCTCACTCTTACTAACTGGTTATAGCTGTACAAGGCTCTCGGTTCCTTTTCTCACTCTCTCTCTCTGTTTCAACCGGTTTGAGCTATACGAGGCTTCTAATTGATCTTTCCTTTTTCTCTCTCTCATACGCATTCACACTCTCTTCATTGATCAATCCTTTTCTTCCTAGTGAATCAAATGGAAGTCTCAGCTTCTAAAATTCGACAAAGCGATACTAAAAACGATCCCATCGTCGTCGTAGTTGCGGTTGGAATCGCCGGAAATGTCAGAGTCGAACCAAGAAGTCTAAGCAGATATCGAAAGAGCTGCCGTCAACATTAACTATTACTGTTTCTGAATCTTTCCTAAACCAACCTTCAGCATCTTCATCTAACTTTATTCCTCCTTCCGCTCCGACATAATCAAATGTCAATATCAACCGATCGCACCTAATTATTCTCCCGAACATTCATCCGTTGCAGAATATCTTTTAGACTTCTACGCCCTATCCCTAGATCCTCTATTCCGAGATGGCGAATCTCTTTTTGAGGATTTAGAAGACGAAGAATTCCATCCTATCGATTTAATCACTCCATCTCCCGAGGAACATCAAGAATACTTCCCTCTTTAACTATCATGTATTAATCTTCTGTCATCATACACATACACGTTTCTTCTGCTCTTTTATTATGTATATCTTTATTTTACTAATTAAAATCAATGTTTAAGTTATAATTTTTATTTTTATTTTCTTTAAAACTCTCGATCTCTTTTCTCCACCCCATTGATCGCACGAGGTCTTTCTCTGGTAATAAGAATCAAGTTTCTTTACCAAAAAACGATCGACGAATGTACGTCTACAACGAGGCGTCATAGCGATTCTTTTTCCACGCTTAACTCTCGAGAGAGAGCAGCTGTTCGTCCTTCCGAGTCCATTCAATTCTTATTTATTTAAATCCTTAATTCTTAATTTTACAAATTTACCCTGGACATAACAATTAAAGTTGAATATTATATATATTATATATATTATATATATTATTTGAACACACATTTAGACACAAGATTACACAATTTTGTAATATAATACTTGAATTGAAATAGAACAATTTTTGAGTGCAAAGATATGTAGCTTGAGTTTTATTTTTATTTTTAAAATATTAATGACGTAATAACGTTTCTTAGATGACGTTTTTTAGAAGTAAATTTCTAGAAATCGGACTTTGGATTGTAATATCTCCATTTATACGACGGGAAGGAAAAACACTAAAAACACTTTTATTGTATATTATATAATTCTAAACTATCGATTGCGTTTATTCAGAAATTGATCGGTTTAGCCTTTACTGAGGCCGTTCTGATAATCTTTATGGTTAGCAATTCGTCGGATCGCGTAAAGAGACACAGCCAGTCTCGCGCTCGTGAAGCGCTAGCGCTTACACTTTGCGACAAGCCACCGTGTCTCTCAATGACTATTTGATAAACTAGTTTGGACAATGCTGGATATGAGACAGAGATATGGGACGGAAAGAAAGGAGATAGAAAAGCTGGCAAAAGGGCAACTTGAAAGACCTGAAATGCATGCTAAGAATAGACAGAAAAATACTAGGTTATTTTTTTAAAGAAAAAATTGCAAAAAGAAATTAAGAGGAAAAATAAATAGGCAAACGTGGGATATGGAGAAAAGACTAAAGAAGAGAAGAAAGGGCAGGAAGGAGGAATTAGAAGGAGTTAGGAATTAAAGACTTTAGAAAATGATTTCTGGAATTATTTTAATAAATTAAAATCCTTTCATATAACCGCTAATCTTTATGAATAATGATAAAAAATTTAATTTAAAAAATTTTTCTTGTCCTTGATAAAATCTACTTTACAGACATATATTAATACATATACTTTCATTACGAAAAAGTATTTCTATATATGTATACTAAAGGCAATACCTAAAAAAATTTAATAAATTTAAAAAATTTAATAAATTTAATATAATAAATTACATTATATCGATAAAACAAATAACTTCAGAAATCTCTTTAATATGTATCGTACAAAAGAACTTGAAAGTATCAAGTATCTACTTTTTAAAAAAACATATTAAGTCAATATATGAATCGAAATTTATTATTGCTTTTTTCTGCAATACGTTATACGTAATATTATTTCATCATGAATAAAAGATTACAATTTGTGTAAAGATATTTTGTTTTATACTTCTTTTTGTTTGGAGTATTTTATTGTTATTAAACATTGAAAATTCGTTAATAATTGTTTTTTGTCACATGAAAGTTGCCAAAATAATAATGCAATAGACGTACGTACATAATTCAATACAAATTGATAGAATTCTTTTTATATTTAATTAAAAAATATATGATGTTAAAAAATAAATAGTGCGCGTAATATCTATTTTAAAAGATAAAGATACATATACAGATCATATGCAAAACCACAAAAAAATTATAAAAAATGCTCAAAAATCCATTTTGATTCTGATTCACTAGTTCGCTATTCGAATATGGATGTCCTCATTATCAGCAGAATGGCATATTGGGTTCGCATAATAATTTCATAATTATGGCGCAAATTGCAAGCACTCAAAGCGCTTGCGCCGCGTACGCCAATAAGTCTATCTATCATATGGCATATTCAGCTATATAACAAGCGCAATGCTCAATCGTGAGTACATGTCTGGCGTGCCCAGACACTGTACAAATAACAATTTCAAAAGAAAACAACAAGGACTTTAAAGAACAATAAGTTTTCCAATTGTTCAGTTTATTTTATCATTTCCTCCGTCTTTTGTCAGAAAAATCAGGAACGATCTGGAAGCTTACTATTATAAAATCGCGGGATGCGAGCATCTGGACCTCTTCGCTGACTCACCGTCATTAGCATCAGTCTTCAGAAGTGAAGAAGTTTTCTGCCAAACGCTTAAAATTAAATTTTTCGCCGCAACTTGCAGTCATTTTTCTCTTAGAATTGCTTGTTCTATTGTGCTAAATTTATTTTGGCTATATTGTATAATATTTTGTAAATATTATACAAAATATATTCGTCTAACTTTTATGTCAATCTAGTGTAACGTGTAATAATAAAAAGTGACTTGCATGACAATTGAGTTTGTTTCTTATGCTGTTCCGATAAATTGTAGTATTATTACGCTAGCGCGAACAAAAAGAAATAAAAATTAAACGTAATATTAAAATCTATTATAGGATAAACGAATAATACGATTAAATTTATCCTTAACATACCGATATTGTTGCCTGCTAAAGATAGTACTTTGATTGCACGTGGTCCTTTTAAAGAAGTGGTGGGCACTGTTGTCAAATTATTGCCGTCGAGATATAGCTCTTCCAAATTGGTGCATCCTTTCAAAATTCCTTCCTCAATATTTCTAAGACTATTTCTACTGAGATCGAGAATCTCAAGTTCCTCCATGCTGTGAAACTCGTTGCTGGAGAATATCGGATTCAAGTTGTCGCCTAAGAAATTATCAGCGAGTCGTAGTTCACGCAGTTTTCTTTGCACATGTAGCACGTGATCCATTAGACGATAAATTGAGTTACATGACAGATCAAGCTTTCTAAGATTCAAATCAGAATTAATGAGATCTGCTGGTAAAATCCGATAGCCGCAATTTCTCTGACTAATTGATACTATTGGTTGACTGCGCAAAATGTTAATAGTATCATGCGTAAAAATCACGCGATCGCAGTTCATCTCAATCGATCGTGGATAATCTGCAGATATAGCACATTTGCAAGGTACTACAAGATCCCGCTTTAATTCAATACAAGGTCTCCATTGTGGTTGATTCAATGAAAAGATGCTTGGCAATTGAAGAATCATCAATAGATATGAACTAAAAAAAACACAACAAAAATGTGATTAAACAAATGTATATCTAAAATAATGTTGGGCATTAATCAATTAAAAAGGCATAGCGAAATAAGCATGTAAAATTTGCCCCTGCATCAATCGAACTCAAATTGATGTCATTAGTTGGCAGTCTTGAGATGTAAAAATTAACCTTCCCCAAAAATTAACCTTCAAATTATATTTTTTTGGAGAATTATGGAGAGGGAAAACGAAATAAAAAAAGTGGTTTGATAATGATTGGTTTGAAATTGATGATCGATTTAATGAAAAAAATATATATTAAAAAATATATATTAAAAATATATATATTATAAACATCGTTAAATAAATTTAAGAAATTTTTTTGGAATTTTTATGATGAAAAGAAAACTGACAAAAAGTTTTCTTAACTTTTATAAACTTTTTTTTTATAATATTTTGGAGATACCACTTTTATATTTTTACGAAAACATCTTCAGATTCTCTTTAACATATATTTTTTCCAAATCGATCGGAGTGGAATACGATTAAAAATAACAATTATTCGCGCAACGCCGCACTACATTGCACCGCGGCACGTGGCAGTCATTGTCATAAAACTTACATACTAGCCTTGTTGCAATGTTTAGTTGCCAAGAAATAGATAAAAATAATTATTTTATTATTGCCTACATATTTGTTCAATGAACATTACGATACTGCTACAACCAAGTGATGATCCGCTCGTCGTTGCCTTCGAAAATCGATACTTCAAAGAGGGGATCGTTCCTACCGACGTGCCGAGGAA